GAGGGGGGGAATCCATGCAGGGAGCCGTCGAGTGACAGTCACGGCTCTCTGCAGGGACAGGATCAAGAAGTGAGCGAGCGACAGTATGTGTTCGCTCACTTCCCGATCTATTGAGCCGACGTGTGACAGTTTCTTTGCCACACGTCGGCTCGAACTATGAGGTTGAGTGAAAATCACTCACCTCATAGTTCTCCTTTAAGGCCAATATTTAATAGGCTGTACTTAAGGCATGCTAAATAGTGCTTAAAGCCTATGTCAATTCAAAATAATATAAATAAAAATAACCAGTACATCTCTGCAATACAGTTACATTTCCCCAAGATTCAGCGCTTTATAAAAGCTGCAAATACTTAAAAATATCAGTTGATTCCGGCACAAATCCAATGAGCTCCTTCCATCCTGTGTGAGCTGATCACATTGCCTATGATGCACTGAAATTCCCAACAGAGTTGTCTGCTCTGCCTGAATTCTCCCCTGGGAATACAGAACCCCCTTCCCCCCTTTCATCCATATTATGCAGATGGGAAGAGGTAGAGGTGTCCTGTAGTCCAGGAAGGGACAATCAATGCATCAGTCTGTAGCTAACTAATGTTGTCTCATCAGTTGTTCAGCAAGGATGCTAATCATACTCCCTGATTTATAGCTGACCATTAAGTCTATGAATCTGCTTTATAATATGGTATAAGCACGCACTAAACATGAAAGTCAGAACAAAGATAGCTTCCAGGTAGATGATATGATAAGAACTCATAATGTCTACTTATACGATGAGCTCTAATGAAAACCTTCATGTAATAAGCAGTTTCCTCGCCCTGACACAATGTATTTTTAGATCCATGTGACAGGGCTGGAAAATCTGCACCAAGCTACAATGTACAGCATTTCTCACTGACACGAGATAAACTGATGACAGAGCCTTCTGAGCAAAACAAATTATCACTCTCCTCCCATCTGTTACCACGGAAAACATCTTTATTATTTAAAATGCTAAAATGATACCAAAAACTGCCACTGCCGGCTTTCTTCTGCCACTTCGCTTAGGCTTCATTACGACAAGAGCTTTGCCCCCATACACTGCCTAACCAGCGTGGTGACGTGCCACAATGTCGCCGAGATCGTTTGTGTGCAGCCTGCAGGTCTGCCATTTTCCATGAGGGGGGTTTGCTTTGGCGGGTAGGGGGGACGCATTGAGGAACCTGGCCTTGGGGCAGCAGAGAGAGTAAATCCGGCCTGCATACACTGCTCATCCGAGTCCTGCTGATTTGGCCCAAATCTGAGGCGTGTGGCTCTGCCGGCGCCTCTCCGTTCAACAAATGTTTATTTTTGTTAAACGGGCCATGCCAAAAATTAGCTGCTGAAATTTAGCCAATTAGCTGCAATTGCCGTTCCTGTATTCTGAGTGGCGGGTGCTGGCTGTAGGAATACAGTAGTTGGCGGGGAGATTCACCCATCCATGGTGTTTAGCATGGATGGGTGAAAGCTGAGTGTATGGCCAGCTTAACTGACTGTGTGCTCAGCCATTGTGTCTATCAGTCTTTAGCTTGTCATCGCTTTGCACAGGCTTGTCAGGAACTTGGCAGTGTGAATCACAATACATAGTGGACATTTATCTAAAAATTCCAGGCCGTTTCCTTGGAATGGTGAATAGAGTCACACCTAGAACAACATCCTATCCCCACCCCACCACAAATGTTTTTTATTTTGGCCTGCTAAATGGATGGTAACTGGTGACAGCAGCCAGCTGGCCCGGGGGCCCATCACAGAAGTCACGTTGTTGCCTGATCTGGCTGAAAGCAGCTGGGTTGGCCGGCAATAATTATATATCATTCTATGGGCTCCCTTAGGACTCGTTCACACTTGTCTCTTTTCTGCACACACACACACACTTCAAGCAGGCCCATTACAATGAATGGTGAATGCACAAAATCACATCTGATGCAGTTTTAATGCATTGGCACCAAGGAGAATCCCTATTCTGAATGCTTCTCTTCACTTTGCACAATGAATGAACAGCAAAAGAAAATGCACATAAAAGCATAAAAATGTGCAGATATTTTTAAAATTGTTGAATATGGAAAAGTTGTGCTGGGCATACACTGTCAAGAAAAAATGCTCGATTATAACCAGTTTGGATGGGGGAATCATCCTCCCCTCCAGTCGGGCTACTGTATTCTGACAGCAGCGAGTGTTCAAATGAGGGGTGGGGGGTCCCCAAGGAGGCCACACTCTGGTCATTCAATCAGTGTATGGCCAGCTTTAGTAATTTAGTAGTTACTAACAACTATGTACTTAAAGAGAACAGGGGAACGAGTGAAATCAAACCGCTTTGAGTTTGCTGGGGCTTCTACATCCCTTCCAAGATGGTGGCACAGGGCAGCAGTTTCAGGACTTTTGGATATCTACACAAGGGAGGCCTCTTCAGGTAAATAACATGCATATAATACATTAAATGCACATATAATCTTATAGACAGATTTTTTGCTGAAATTAATAATCTGGTGACAGGGTCTCTTTACGGAATCCATTAAATTTATATGCAATCAGGCAGGCAGAGACATTGATAAATGTAAAGGAGATTGTGCAGTCAGATGTGGGCCAGCTAGTTGTAAGGAGGTTGAAGAAGGAATGGGCAGATCTATATGTAGAAGATCCTTTTAACACATTTCTTTGATGATTGACAATACGGGCTGGGCTGAGTCATCGCCATCATCTCAGGGCCTTGGAATTTTAAGCTGCAGGTTACCAAGGAACGGTCACACCAGCCCGCCTAAACAAACGTTAGTGATAATCTGGGAGCACGCACCGACTTATCCCTGGTGGAACTGCTGCTCAGTCTGAGATGTAAGAAATAAGACACAGAGGAAGTCCTTCTGACAATGGCTGCGGTAGGACTCTCTTCAGAGCAACTATCTGTCTACATGCACTCCAGTGATGGCTGCATGACACTCAGGGTGGGTTTCCTGATGGTGACAACAGTGGACCATGCTTGTGTAATAGATGTTGCAACAGTCCGGTCCTTCAAAAATGTGTTTGATTGAAAAAATGACTTTTATTGAATAGGTGTGTTTGCGGGGGTCCTGAAGTAGCCACACACTGAGTCAGCACTGTGTGGCCACATTAAGAGTGAAACACAAAAAAGTAGGGCAGAGCTAGACTTTGCAAGCTTTGGTTGATATTTAAATGCCCCGGGTTTCGGGGCACTTGGGATGCTCTAGTACACAGCTGAGGTTACATAAAAAGTACCAGCAGGTTTTTTTTAGTACAGCAGTTTACTCTTGTTAGGATCACTGGATGTTTTCTCTAAAGAAACCCTAAGCCAGCAGCACACAGGTTCAAGAAGGGGGTCCAGGCCATGTTCTGTCCTCACTGCCCAATACTTAAATGCTCTCCTGGTGGTTGGGCCTGTTACGGAAAACAAGGGATATGAACGGCCCTGTTGCATTAAGCCCAATCTAGATGCTGCAAGCCAAGTTCCTGCAGATGCTGTGCCACGTTCTTGTGCATGCAGAGCCATTAAACTATACCATCTCAGCTCCAACATTCCTATCCAAGGCTTTTTCTGAACAAGGTTTGTAAAGAAGGCTTATACAAGGCCCTAAATGTGCAATTCGTTACTATTGACACAAGTTTGGTTGGTGTTAGGTAATGTATACCCTTTTTTGGCAGCTCTCCCAACTCTGAAATAAAAGTAGAAGCATCACCTGTGATTTGTCTTTTTATCTCCAGGTCCTGTGTGTCCCTCAACAGGGTCAGTAGAATTGGCATCCCCCTTTGCTCACACACCTCCAGTTTGTTATCATTGTCCTCAAACACCAGATTCCTGAGAGCCGCACAGGCCGCCCGCTGCAGTTCCTCGTTGTCACTATTCAGAAGACGTATTAGCCGTGGGATCCCACCCAGTGTGTACACCTGCAGGAAAAAGCATGGGCATGATTACGGGAACATGGGTCTAAGAGAGTTCTACAAAGTAAGCTACCCCTTTAATATTGAGCCGTATTTGTTGACAACCAGTCAAATGGAAGATTTTATTCTTTTAGTGAAGGAGTTAGGATAGATAATTTTTATTGGTGGCAAGGGGTCCTTGCACTTTGCTCCTGGCTATTATAAAAGGATTATTTAAAAGGTAACCTATAAGACCTCATGAGGCTGTACAACGTAAATGGCGGCTGTATTTCTGTTCAAGACACACAGCTGTGGTGTACAGCCGCCCATAACAATGGATTGGTGAGGGTGGCTGTACGTGGATTTATGCTGTTACTTGCGTAAACCTGTGCACCTGTACGTATTGTACAACCAACAAAACCCATTCACTACTATAGGTGACTGCGCGCCACAGCTATGTACCCTAAGTGGGGAAATATGACTGCAGTTTATGTTCCATGAACTCATGCACCCATATGCATGAGTCCCAATGGTTTGGGTCAGTTTAATGTTTTATATAGTTTATAGATTTTTAAACTGATATGCTTTTTTTTAGTTTATATAAAATCTTTATCTCCATACTTGTTCTTGGTTAATTTTTCAAGGTTTAGAAGTACAAGGAATCGACATGACAGCCAGCTAATTGGCATCTGCAGAATGAGAAGTCAACCATGGTAACCTACAAGTCTCCTCATACGCTGCATGGTCAGTCCAGGGGTGACTGTTCATTAGTCTCTCCCACCAGAGATAAATTAAGTTCAGAGTTTTTGCTTCATCTGAAATGAATTTCAGAAAGAGACTCTGAATTCCAGAAGGGATTAAGATATCGCTCTTGCGTGAAATTCCTGCCCTCCAAACTAAATCTCATTCCATCCTCTGAGCTCTGACCAAGGCAACGAAAACATGGACATATTAGTGGCAATAATACAAGAGAATATGTATTTTCCAAGTACTGGGCTTATGTTCAAAAGGTAACTATTTGTAAAATTTTTACATGATTTCCATGTGTATATATTGGCTGTAAACAGTCTCTTCTATCCTCAGGGATAGAAGAGATGAGATCTCTGCACCAAGATCCCAGGTCTGCACACTTGCTGTGCTCATTATGAGGTGTTCTCACCATCCTGGTGCTTAGTTTCTAGGTGTGTATACCTGCTGTACCCATTATGAGGGGCTCCCACCATCTCTGTGCTGCAATAAATAGTGTTCAGCCTTAAACAGTATGTGAATGCTAATGATCCCCTATTACTCTATGCACTATAAATCATGATAGTATAATGTACTTAATTTGTTTTAATTATTATCATTAAATACCTTACATTTAGATTATTACAAAGCAGTCTACCTTCCAGGGCTGGTGAGGGGGTCACATCAATGGAAACAGTTATACATAGGAGGACTGTTCAGGGGGGCGTGTCCCTGTTGCTGGGCAGGGGTGTATCCCTATTGATGGGCAGGGGCGTATCCCTATTGAATTAAGTCATATTTAGTGGGGAAATACGTTCCCAGTCTATGCAGGATGTGTCAGGCAGAGCAGGGCTGGAAAGGGAGGCAGAGCTAACTACAGGACTACAAGATCACCTCATGCACCATGTCATGTCATGAGGGATGCTAACTGTCCACAACAGAAAGGATCTGTGTAGCATGGTCAGAATCCTACAGACAAGAACTGGTGTTATTTCTCATTAAAATGAGATATTAAAAGCGATCAGGCTACGCTTACAATCATCCACATGGACACAGATGAAATAATACATTTTTGGTTAACATATACTTTAAATACTGGGCATGCCTGAGTGGATAAAAGTACAAAACTCTTCTAATTTATCCCTCCCATCCACCTGACAAGAAGCTATATTTCAGTCAACACGTCTCTTAGTATCTGAAAAACAAGACTAAGAGCTCTGGAGCAAGAAATTTGTTAGCCAGGGAAAGAATAGGCCAAAGTCAAACAAGTCGCTCATGCTGCTGTAGGCACTCCTACTGTTAGCCTAGTGTGTATTGGATGAAGAGAATTGAATATAAATAGGTTATCAGTTAATACATACAAACCCGGGTAAGTGACAAATGTCACTGAGAAACGTACCCGCCTTCTCGCCTCAATCTTCTGGAAGCACTCATGCTGAATGAAGTTGCAGGCTGTGACTAGCCAGTATGCGCTGGAGCTGTCGCTTTGCAGGAGACTCACTGCCCTCTCCAGGGTCATGTCCACCTCTGATGTCACCTGAATAGCAGCCGAGCTTATGATAAACGACACAATGAGAGAATATGAGCCACTGGCCTTCTTCAACAAGGCAAACAGCAGTTGTCAAAGTATTGAACCCACAGCAACCAATCAGAAATTACTAATAAGTTAAAGTAAACATTCTAGGTCTAGTGGCAAAACTGTAGAAATAAAATGCCTGCAGCTCACTATAGCTAGACATCTGCTACACTCTATGGCCAAAAGTATGTGACTCATGACTCAGTTTTCACATTTTAAGTGAAGGGTGCTGTCAATGCTACAGCATATTAGACAACATTGTGCTTCCAACCTAATGGCTGCCATTCAGAGAAAGCTATCATCTGTTCCAGCACCACTGTGCCCCTGTAAACAAAGCCAGCTCTATAATGACATGGCATGATGAGTTTGGTGTGGACGAACTTGAGTAGTCTGCACAGAAACCTACTGAACACATTTGGCATGGATTAGAATGCCATTATTTAAATGCATACATTTTGGTTGAATGGGCACAAATTCCCACAGACACACTCCAAAATCTCATGGAAAGCCTGCACAGAACAGCAGAGGCTGTATAGCTGCAAAGGAGAGACCAACTCCATGTCAATTCCAATGGTTTTGGATGGGATGTCTAACAAGCTCATACAGATGTGATGATCAGGTGTCCATTTGTCTTGGCCAGTTCTGTACAAACATTAGACCATCAAAAGCCTTTGGCAGAGACTAAATAACCAAAGCCTTGGCATTATCTGCCCATTCTTACCCTAGATTCACATTTTTATTCCAACATAAATATATTGCAGTCTGATTACTGGGGAATAGGTACTGGAGAAATGCTTTCTCCTGCTTGCAGCAGACTGATATCTAAGCAAGGTTATGTGAACTGTACTGTGAAAATGATATACTATTGCTGTAATTTGTGACATGTCAGGAATGAGTTCATCCAGAACTGTAAAGTTACTGAAAGGTTCACTTTAAATGGCCCAATAGTTGGTCATTCTGAAGATTGCAGAAGAAAGATTGATCTGTGAATGGTCTACCGAACACAATATTAGGTCCCAGAGATGCTGGAAATATTCAATCACACTCACTTTTTCTGTAAAGCTTTAGTTCACCTGCAGTACTAGAAAAACAATCCACTGTAAAGTAGGAATTAGTAAAGATTGTCCCGCCCCCCCCCCCCACCCCCCTTTTTATTATGATGGTTTTAGGTTGCTTTAAAAGCTTTATATAAATTGCTTCTCCTACCTTCCACCAGTTAGACACAACTCTCCCATACTAATAAAGACCTGCTTCCTTAGCGCTAGACTCTTCAGCTTGCTTCTAACATGCAAAAAGTGTGGAGTCAACAAGGCTAGAGCAGACCTTAAATCCGTCACTTCCAAATTTTTTGGAACCTTCAGCACTGGAATAACCGAGCTAAGCTCTCTTTCTCGCAAAATTTTATGTTACTTCAGTACAGGTGCTCATGAAGAAACTCACTCATGATAACTTACCCAACAGGACCTTCTGCATGGACACCATCAACTTGGGTCTGCATAATGGGTCCAGCAGCAACCCTCCCAGCTGTCATGGTGGTTCTCTTGCCACCCATTGTCATTCCAGTGGCTCCAGAATATTCCCCCCTTCCAGTCCTGTAGACTGTCTTTTGGTAGGTCGCCCTGTGAACCTCGGGTCTACTGTACATCTGTTGTGGTGGGATCACGGCCCTGACTTGGCTACTACCAGCCATGTAGGCAGCCTGGTAGTTTTCCTTGTCAAGAAGGTTGTTTAGACTTCGGCTGTTCCTCTGCTGGTAGATGGCTTTTGATGGACTGTTTGGGCCGCTGTTGAACACAGAATCTTGATCAGACATGTTGGACCTCCCAGTGGTACTCTGCCGTGCTTTGGCTGCAGTACCAAACTCTGAACGTGAATAGCGGGTGGTAGACATATTATACTGCCGGTGCTCTGGATATCTCAAGCTTGCTGCTGTGTTTTTCCTTTGTTCATATATTCCCATTCCAACTTCACGTTCTGGAGAAACCTCCTTTCTAGCAAAAGGCTTCCTCTGATTCGAGTCTTTTTCAGTACCCCGCTGACTGTAAGTAGAGTAGCCTCCAGCCCAACCATTTTCCTGCCTCCGTTGGCCATATTGTGAATATCCTCCACCCCACCCATTTTCATATGCTGATGACTGATGGTCCTGGAAAAAAAAGTAAAAAATAACAGTTGGATAACATGATAAAGTGTATGTCTGGGCATAATAAAAAAATATATATATATTTAGTACATGTCTCCAATACAAGTACAAAATACAGGTTGATCCTGCCAGAAATCCAATGATCTCCTGACTTCCTGTGCCTGTGCTGCACTGATATCTCAAGCAATGTTAACAGCCCAGTTCTTCTTTATAAGCTACAGAACACCTTTCCCTTTAAAAAATAAATAGAGGGGGGAGTGCGCTGTACTCTATATGAGAATAACTAGATGTCTAGCAGCCTAGGGTGACAACACTGATCCTACATAGATACAGTATGGGGAGTAAGCGTTGTCAGGAAGTGTGGTACCACCATGATCATCAGGTGGAAATATAGGAAAAAAAGCCAGAAAAATTAATAAATAACTAATTCTAAGGACTGGTGATCTGCAATATATACTGAGGGGAATTTATCAAAACTTGATCAGACAGAATGGGGAACAATCAGCCTCTCTCTTTCATTTTCAATTTTTAACTGAACAAACCGAAGAGTTGACAATGTATACAGTCTTCATTTTATAAACAGTTGACACTGCTGGTATGACTCCTTTCAGATTGCCTCTGTCTAATTGATACTTTGTGGGGAATCATCTAAAAAAGGCAGGCAGGGTGGGGGAGGAATCACGGCTCTGACTTGTGTGTGTAAGGCTGGATTTGCACCACTTGTGTTGAGTTTGTGTTGATATGCGCTAAACGCACTTGAGTGGATGTCTGTTGACTTGAGGGTTTTTTAACGCACTGTGTTGTATTAAAAAGCTTCTTTTTTTTTGTCAACAGGACTGAAAGCACCTGATTTTTCCTTCCTCTAGTAGATTGTAATGCAAGAAAAGAAAAACACAGCTCTGTCCCAGAGTCGAGCTTTAGAGAAAAAGAAGTAACAGGTGCTTGTCAAGGGACCGCGTCCTCACTCCTCAAATGCCCAAACAGGCGCACACCGATGAGATCACTGCATATAATCAACTTTTTTAGACTCCAACTATGCTGCACAGTCCTTGTATTCTACAGACACTAACGCGTTTCACCCTAATTGGGCTTAATCATAAAGACATGTTAGAGTTGGTTGAATACAGGGACTGTGCCGCATGCTCGTGTCTAATAAAGTTGGTTTTATGCAGTGACCTCATCAGTGTGCAGCTGCTTGGGTGTTTTTGTACGTTTTTATACAGCATGTTCCATTTCCACCAAGTGCAAGCCAACGCAGTGCATTGATATGAACTGGGCCCATTGGAAACAATTACATTTTTGCTTGTCACTATGTTAAGCAATCCAACACCACTGGCGTGAATCGGCCCTAAATGTCACCTTGAGCTATTGAGCTCTGAAAACAACACGCTATGATTCAGCAAAGCAGATAAGGACAGAAAGAAATCTTAAGTTCTACACGTTAGCCAAAATTCAAAAAAAAAAAACTTATTTATTTGCAATATTTCATGTTTATCTCACTAAAGAAAAAAGTAAAAAACATTTTGAATTTTATTTTTTAATATGACCAAAATAAATGAAGAACGTTCATACAATAATACATTAGATTCAAATGTTTGTTTTAGAGTCTTATTATTTTTGTTTTGGCTTTAGATGCCTAATTTCTCGTCCATTAGCTGTGACATGCAGGTAGAGATGTCATTGCACATTGCTGTTGTGAAAACATTTGTCTGTGACAGGTACTCTGTACCTGGAACAAAGTGTACAATTTCCACACATGACATGCGGGCTGAGAGCGGAGGAATGTCTTTGTTTGGGGTCTGTGAAATGCCTATAATCTCTCTGGTGTCATGGCCGACCTTTGGGTAGACTTTCCAGATTGGCTGGTAACAATGTTTACATGCTCCTTTTGAATGTCAATAAATAAGGTTTGAAATTTCTAACCGCCAAAACTTTTTGCTCGAGTTTAAAAAACAAAAAACAAAAAAAACTTAGATACGAGTTATGTTGGTTTATTTTTACTTTGTATCCAGCGCCTTGCCTAGAGGCACCGATATTCCTCTGACATGCCGTCTAGTCGGGTGGGTCTCTTTTGTGTGCAGGGCATGACCCCAGATGGAAATGTCCACTGAGCTTGCACACATGGGGCTGCTCCATGACATATTTGAAGAAGAAGATCTATAAGTATATTGAAGTGTATCTAAGGCCAAATAGTTCATACATTTTAAGATTAACAGTCCTTAGATGTGGTCATTGCATTTGTTCTATTTTTTTTAAGCTTTTTTCCTTAATTTGCACCTGGTAATCCTGCGAATAATACACTACCCGTCCTAGGGTGACAACACTTACTCCTCTGTATCTATGGAGGGAATCACAGTTGCCACCCAGACTGGAGCTCATTTCAGAACTGGACAAAAATAGAAAAAAAAATTAAAAATCTTTTGGCAGGTAAAAACAGCAAACGTATATGTATTTAATCTGTGCGATTTGCCTAATGTTCAGCTTTAAAGAGCCAAACCCATGGGTTTCTATGGACAGTGGTGGACAGATTAGGAATTCAGGAGACAGGTCTGTCCAATCCAGGAGCCAGCAGAATATATTTAGGAGCCAGCTCCATTGACAAAAACTTGACAATTTTTAAGGAGCATTTTCTACCGGGCTCCTTGAATTTGTCCAGCCCTCCCTATGGGCGACAACAATTCTACTTTTACAATGGGGTCCCCACAGGGCCGGTGCTGCCACTAGGCAAACTAGGCAGCCGCCTAGGGCGCAGCTTCAATCACTCACCCACCCATGGCACCCCCCATTTATTTCAAATTACAAAAGCCAATAGCAGGCTGGCTATTGCACCAGCCCACTGAGCAAAGGAGCGGAACTTTCTCTCCCTGCTCAGTGGGTGGGTTTTCAATTGCCAGTCTGCTATTGGCTATTTCAAATTAAATTACATCAACCTGTTGCCTGCGGAAGCTATCCGGCAGGAGAATGGGGCCACCTGCGAGGGGGGGAATTGGGGGTTGGGCTGCAGGAGGGGGGTTGGGGGGTGCAGTAGCTGGTCTTGCCTAGGGCGCAATATAGTCTAGCACCGGCCCTGGGTCCCCAATGGTCAAAGTGAAAAAAAGTATTGCCTTTTTTGCCCCTACCAAACAGCCTCTATCTATTCTTTTCTCAGCTCAGCTTTCAAAATGAAAAGAAGATTCTGTTTGCTATGGGAACCCAGACACTGTCTGCTCAGACACGTCTGAGATTTCAGGCCCATTAATAGTCTGCTCACCTTCATGGTGTCAATGCTTTTCGAAGGGGTTCTGAAGACTTCCCTCTGTGACAAGGTCGTATATGGTACTTGATCAGAAATGCTGACGGACTGATAGATCGAACCTGTTGGAAAGAAGAACAGTGCTTAAATTGCCTGAGAACAGCCATAGATATGAGATGGTGATTGGACATACAGGGAGGATCTGGTAATCAATCAATAGGGGAAGTGCCACCTCGTTGGTACTTTGCCAGCCTGGCTGAGAAAAATTGGACTTGTTCCCAATGTTATTAATAGGGAAGAGGCCATAAAGCTGGTATTTTTTCCCCCAGAAAAGCTGGCAATCCTATCAAACAACCATTTTCTCCTCACTTCCTGTCTAAGAGGTATAGCAGGAAGTAAGAGGAGATCTCTTCAAAGCAAGAGAAAATCCCCTCTTAGGGTCACCATACCCATTACAATCTTAGTATTCAATCTTTCTACAATCAATTTTAGATTTACCAAAACAATGTGATATAAAAGGACCTACTCAATCTATTCAATGACTTCGTATCCATTCAGGCAGGCCACTATAAAGAAGATTGTAAAATCAGATTGTAACATGTGTGGTGAGCTTTTTAGACAGTTGTGACTGGAACAGTTTTACCCATTGGAAGGTTTTCCCTTACCTCCTGTTCCTGTGACAACTCAAACATTTTGGATTTCCCATCACCTTCTGTATCAGAGACAATGGCCACCAGGGCCGGTAATGAGGAACCCAGACAACTGCCCACTGGGAACACAGACCACAATTAAAACAGAGGCGTTACCCCTTCCAAATTCTATCCAAAACTTTAAAAAAAAAGTTAGGGCTATAAATACATTTTAAAGCTGAGATCCAGGAAGATATAAAAGGCAAATATTAATGTGGATAGGTAATCATTAATATATAATTACATGCATATTTAAATACAAACAAACAGTGTAAGTAGCCTCTTGCAATCCACTGTACAGCAGAACAATGAGCCAGTTAGCTGTGCTGCATTGCAAGGAGTATGCAGATAGGAAGAGAAAGCCGGGTGAAGGGGACATCATTGTCCTGCTTCTCCTTTCACTGTCCAATCACAGGCTGGAGAAGGGACAAGACGTGTAAGTGTTAAACAATCAGATCACCTGCCCGTCCAGGATTGTGTTGAATGGCAGAGCAGTGTAAAGCTGGATGGACAGAAATACAAATCCTTTGGCAGGCACAACAGTTCCCATATAAGTATTTCTTCTGTGTATTTAGCGGTTTGTCTGGAGTTCAATTTTAGGATTCCAAAACCCCTCTTTAGTCAAAAGTTTTACAATGTGAAAGTGTTAGAACTGCTGTCAGGTTTTTTTTGGTTAGCCGTTTGTGTCCCCACTGGGGAGATTCCCCCTCACTTCCTGTCCTGGTAACACCAAGACAAGAAGAGTAGTTGTAATATTTTCCTACTTTACTAAGAAAGATTTTTTGCTGCTTCTTTAATTTAGAGACATTTCCCATCACTTACTGTTTCCTTTTCCTCCTGCCAGGGGCCTTGATGGGGCAGTGTGGCTTCCACATAGATTTGCAGCAAATACAGTATATGCTATTAACACCTCTGCTTTTAATACATGGGGCCCATTTATAAAAGTTCTGCCTGGCGTATAGCCTGGCGAATGTCGTTTACATGGCAGTAGTGTCCCTAAATGGTGCTGATGTACCATTTCATGCAAACGGCATCCGCACGACTATACACCAGACAGAACTCTTGTAGATGAACCCCATAGTGTTTAAGGAGTGCTGGCCATTTCTGCTTTAGATTTATATGGTGCCACCGTTGGCTGAGCATGCTACTATCAGGTGACAATGTGGGATGTTACATGTTGTCTGCATACACTTGAGTAAATGCCTAAGGAAAAAGTAGAATACACACCCATCAAATAACTACTACCATTCAGCCAATGACAAACAAATGCGCCTTTTGACTTTTGCTTGCACTTCTGATTTCCATGCAAGTGGGACAGATAGTAAAGGGCAAGGACTATATATATAGTACATGAATGAAACAAATGTATAAAATGTGACACAGACAACACCAATCGTGGCTTCTTCAAAGTCTCCGTGGTATATAAACCACTCTGTCCCCCAGCAACATATACAGGTGCACAGACCCCGCATGGCAGCATTGCTGACATTTTTGTTTACGTTACCTGTGTGCCTTGAAACTATAAGATTAGAGATAGTCCATCCAACAATATTGATTTAGACATTGTTTAGAGAATTAAAAGGTATTTACTTATCTCTCCTCCACCCCTCTTTAAAAAACTGCTGCACTATCTTCTATGTAAACCCAATAAGGACCCATTCTACTATCACCGAGAGCTCGGATTACCTCAAGGATTCACAATAGACATACATTGCCTCTTAAAGCCAAAGGTGACACTTATACTTATGAAACATTAGGGAGGAATGCAGGGTAATTGATGTTGATGTTTTAAATGGTAACAGGTATGAAACTAAACATATAACAGGAAAAAAAAATCAGGCTTATATAACACCCTACATTATGAGGCCAAAAGTTTGTTGACCGTCCCCCAAATTACGAGTCCAGTTGTCTCCAGTGAGGGGTACGGTGAATTCTACAACATACAAAAGATATTATAGACAATTGTGGGCTTCCGGCCTTTGTGGGCTACAGTTTTCTGTTCCAGTATGACTGTACACCTGTGTACAAAGCCAGATCAAAGACTTGGTTTGACCAGTTTGGTGTAGAGGAACTCGAGTGTCCTGCACAGAGCCCTGACCTCAGCCCTACTGAACTCCTTTGGGATGAATTAGAATGTCAATTGGAGCCAGGGCGTCTCATCTAACATCATGGCACTAGTGTCCCTAAATGCTGCTGATCTAGGGGCACAAATTTCATGCAAACGGCATCCGCACGACTATACACCAGACAGAACTCTTGTAGATGAACCCCATAGTGTTTAAGGAGTGCTGGCCATTTCTGCTTTAGATTTATATGGTGCCACCGTTGGCTGAGCATGCTACTATCAGGTGACAATGTGGGATGTTACATGTTGTCTGCATACACTTGAGTAAATGCCTAAGGAAAAAGTAGAATACACACCCATCAAATAACTACTACCATTCAGCCAATGACAAACAAATGCGCCTTTTGACTTTTGCTTGCACTTCTGATTTCCATGTGGAAAGTGGGACAGATAGTAAAGGGCAAGGACTATATATAGTACATGAATGAAACAAATGTATAAAATGTGACACAGACAACACCAATCGTGGCTTCTTCAAAGTCTCCGTGGTATATAAACCACTCTGTCCCCCAGCAACATATACAGGTGCACAGACCCCTGCACGGCAGCATTGCTGACATTTTTGTTTATGTTACCTGTGTGCCTTGAAACTATAAGATTAGAGATAATCCATCCAACTATATTGATTTAGACATTGTTTAGAGAATGAATAGGTCTTTACTTATCTCTCCTCCACCCCTCTTTAAAAAACTTCTGCACTATCTTCTATGTAAACCCAATAAGGACCCATTCTACTATCACCGAGAGCTCGGATTACCTCAAGGATTCACAATAGACATACATTGCCTCTTAAAGCCAAAGGTGACACTTATACTTATGAAACATTAGGGACGAATGCAGGGTGATTGATGTTGATGTTTTAAATGGTAACAGATATGAAACTAAACATATAACAGGAAAAAAAAATCAGGCTTATATAACACCCTACATTATGAGGCCAAAAGTTTGTTGACCGTCCCCCAAATTACGAGTCCAGTTGTCTCCAGTGAGGGGTACGGTGAATTCTACAACATACAAAAGATATTATAGACAATTGTGGGCTTCCGGCCTTTGTGGGCTACAGTTTTCTGTTCCAGTATGACTGTACACCTGTGTACAAAGCCAGATCAAAGGCTTGGTTTGACCAGTTTGGTGTAGAGGAACTCGTGTCCTGCACAGAGCCCTGACCTCAACCCTACTGAACTCCTTTGGGATGAATTAGAATGTCAATTGGAGCCAGGTCTTCTCATCTAACATCAGTACCTGACTTCACAAATGGGCACCAATCCCCACAGAAACTCCCAGATTCTATAAAAAGCCTTCCAAGAAAAGTGGAGGCAATTCTGGCTGTTAAGAGGGGAGGGGCTGGGGCAGGAAACTCATTATTGCCTATAAGCTTAGAATAGGATGTCATATCGGTGTGGTGGTCAGGTGTACACAAACTATTGGCCATATAGATTTTCTATTCATAGTTTTATACTCATTGCCACAAGCTAGCTGAAAGCTGAAATCAGATTGGTGGAGGGTTCTCCTCTCAAATCAGCAGCAAAGGCCTCTAGGCCTGAAGTCCAGGGAAACACCTCCCGCACCTGAGCTCTACCGCTCCCACTGCCACTCCAACTCCCAGGGGCAGGCTGGACAGCACCCAGTCCTGACCGGCCACAGGGCTATCCCAAGCTTGACTTGAGCACATGGCAATTCCTCTGAGTAAATATGCCTTGTCCCAGCATGCATCATTGGCTATGAGAGCCCCAGTTATTGGCTGGCGGACTGCACACACACTCAGTGTCCCCCATTGGTTGTCTCACACTGGGAGTTACACTCCACTCAGGCAATTACAATCAATGCCAGGACACCTGGAATTAACCAGATAAATGCCAACTATAATTCAGTATAGGCTGACTATAGCTCTGGCAATCACTACATTTCTAGTAGCCACCTCACAAAAGGTGATGGGGGCTACAGCGTTGTATAGCAAAGTATCTCTCTACACACAGATTTGTCAGCTGTCCCTAACCAGCTCCAACAAACACTGACAATATGGCTGCCTGGAGCCCACCCTTTTATTGTGAGGGTATTGACTTGTCCATTCTTTTGGCTATAGAGATTCCATTTGACCTGAGACAAAAGGTTGTGCAATGCATTATGGGCTAAGGCGCACGTTTTTTAGGCTATGAATGCAGCGTTTTGCTGAATTGTGAAACCATGAGATCCGCCCCGTACCCAGGGTGGCCCCGAGCTTCATCACTAATGAGTTCTAAAATGAGAAACAACTTCCCCATGTAAGAACATTTACAACTGCTCCCTAATGTCTTGCATTGCTGCCCGC